GTGACTTCCTAAAAGCATAAATAAATAGGTGGAGGGATGTCAGTGAGGGGAGGTTGGAGACTATCATCAGAATTCGTTCTTCGTATTGTTAACTCAGTTGGTCAGGGAAATTCTAAATTTTTCAAGGAAAAGTCAGGGAATTTCAAACACTTTGGGCTGTGACAGCCTTTTCAGCCTATTTTTGTCTTGGGCTGTCTCCCACGATTCACAGCCAGGCTCATCACGAGTCTTCTTGCAGCTCAGCCGGTGTGTTAGGTCCCCACGGCAGTAGGGGAAGTTGAGTTTCCAAAGCAGGGTGCTTTGCGGAGACTTTGCGTTGGCTGTGCTCTATAATATTTGGCGAGTCCACACAGATATATACGGAAATTTAAATGTATAAATGAGTGAACTAAGGTACAGTAAAGAAACCATCTTGTAACTGTTCCAGTGCTTGCTGTTTAATTACGATGTTCAACCTTCAGTCTTCTTCAGGTGGAACTTACAATAAAACTTTTCTACTGAAACCCTAAAAATTCTTGTATCAAGTTTTCAGAGACGCACGAATTCATTAATTAATTAAAATAAAGGATTACGTAACTTAACGGTGGAGATCAAGAAAGCGCAAATAGCAAAAGATAAGTCTCCTATTCTATAGAACTTAATTTAAAAAATTATATTTTTGATTTTATCTTGTCAGCCTATCTCCTTGTGGCAGTTTTAAGGCTTAAAAGTTGCAAGCGCATTATTATAATTGTTTGTGTGTGTGTGTGGGTTGCGTGTGTGTGTGTGTGTGTGTGTGTGTGTGTGTGAGTAAAGCACCTCTCTATTGCACTATTGTCAGCATAAACATTCTCACGTTAAAATTTTTGTACTTACAGACACCTCACTACGAATGTGTCCGGAAAAAATTCGAGGAGAAATTAGTGATTTAACGCGAGATAATCCTGCAGAGTCCGAAAGTTTGATTCGAAAGCTGTATAAACGCATCTCATCCTTGCAAGATACCGGTGAGAAAGAGAATCTGCTTGATGAGCTGGAAGGTGTCGCCATCTGGGGATTGCAAGAGGACCTGAAGAAAATGTTAAAAGAAAATGGGTTGCACCTAGAAGCGTTACCCCTGGTCTTGAAATACCTGACAAATACAGGAGAGCTTGCGGAATATTTGTACAGACATTCTGAAGAGGATTTAGAGAAGGAAGGATTGGCCAGTGTAAACAAGCGGCTTCGACCACATCTTGAAGTGCTTGGAGGCCTCATTGCTGAAGGAGTTGATATCACAAAGGAATGGGTGAAAAGGCTTTGTAAGAAAGCTCCGTCATTTAAGGCACTTTCTCGGCTAGAATCAAGCAAACTTCAGTCTTACTGCCAAGGAGCTGATGACGGAGAAATGGACCAAGTTCGCAAGCTGGTTGAAACTGCTAAGTTTAACGGAAAAAAAAAGCCCCCCAACGTTTCACAAGATGATGGGCTCGTGCAAAACACCAAAGCAACGAAAGCTGTAGATGAAGCAAATCTAAAGAAGGCGAAAGAACTGATGAATGAAGCTAAAATATTGGCTACAGACAAATCGGAAACAGCAAAGAAGACCGTCAACGACAAAATAAAATTAATTATGGAAAGAATGGAGCTACCTTTAGATTGGTTCAAGCAAGATCAAATGCAACCAGATCAAATGTTTCAACAGTTAGATCAGATAATTGACCAATGCAGCGCAGTTGTGGAATCAGATGAAATTTACAAGAACGCGGTAGAAATGATCACCAAAGCCAGTGCTGGGAAGGCACTATTCGGAATTTATCATTCTGAATATGAAGTACCAAAACCAGCGGGCAGACCACTTCTCCTGCCACCAACAGATGTGTCATTAACCAATCCAAGCATATCTAAGGATATGAAGTTTATGAAGTTCTCCGCCCAAGGAGCAGCTGCAGATTACATCCAAACTGTTGAGTCCTTAAATACAAATATTGGTCTCGCTAAAGCTGGTCTTTCAGGCTTACTCTTTGGTGAGGTACAAGGAGCTCGTGGTTTTGAGCAGCAGAAACAATTTCATGGTTCTTTCGAAGAACAGTTAACCAGTGTGTCTGTCCTTCATTACATCCGGACGCCAACAAGATCCTTTTTGCTCGAACGTTACCAAATAAACCTTTGTGAATCAGCAAGGGCAATGGCAAGATCCATTGTTCAAGATACTGAAATGGACAAGGTCCAACAGCAAAAGAGAGCTCGCTTGTTCCTTCAACGTTTTGGGAGTCATTTTCCAGCCGGTGTTCAGACTCTTGGTGGCGTGTTTTTCAGCATCGCCGATGCCGAAAGCGAAGGAGCAACAAAGAAATTCGAGCTAGTGGAGGCAGCTACGGATTATCTTAAAGTGAAAATGTCTGCTGGATTTCTTGGGGTCTTCAATATTGGAAGAAGTATTTCTGGTGAATACACCTGGTATAAAGGTAGTAATGAGGGAAAGTACAAGGAAAGGCGTGACAAAGTCTTTACCTACTCTGTCAGATCCATTGGGCCTACAGCAACAAACAACATTACTTTTCAGAAACTTCTGTCTTACAACTCAACCTGGGCTTTGATCGACCGAGGGCCTGTTGAAGGGTACATACCAGTATGGGAACTGTTAAAAGATCTTGGCAGTGAGTACGAAACAGCAGCTAATGTCCTGGAAGAAATTTGGCAGTGTGACGAAAAGGAAAGGAAAGCTCGAAAGATCGCAAAAGATGAGTTGTTGCTTTTGAAGGAAAACATCATTGCGGGGGTAAGAATGGCTAAACTTTAGTATTAGAGGTAAAGATAGAACAGGTCTTTAATCATCGAGAGTTCCCAACTCTTTCTTAGTCAAAAATTCGATTTTTTGTTTTGTTTGTAAGTTATGGTGCTATTAGATATTATTTACCCGAGATTTAATCTAGTGAACGAAGGCGGTAGGACGTTTGGAATTACTGCTTGCCAACTCTGGAACTGCTCAAGCCTGGTACTCAAGAATTGCGGATTAACAGAATATTTTAAGGATAATCATAGAAACATCCACCTCAGTGAATATTCACCAAGATTTGTCCGTTAAGTGAAAAACTGTCACCTTGGACTTGAAAATGCTTCCCTCAGTCTGCTTACATTTAAAGTGCTCTCAAAGGAATTCGCCTCAGCTGTTACTATGATATCCATGAATCAATTAGCTAGTCGATGAATGAATTTACAATCAAACATTTATCCAGTATTTTAACATTTTAAGCAATATTTTTGACGATGTACCCGTTTTGGAACTTAAGTTATGTACTTGTTTTACCTTCTCCTTTCTGTTTTCAGACGAGACAGCTTCCGCGTGCAGAACTCAACTTATTTAAGGAAACTCAAGTTTACACTCAAAAGCTTTATTACATAGCAGATGTCTTTGATGACGCGATAGAATTTATCATGGAAGACGTGCAGAACAATATCTGTGAGGTTATTTGCGACCGATTAGCCTTCTTGTCGTTTCGACTTCCTTTCACTTTGCGATGCCATAAAGTTACTAGCGATG